CCTTTGGTGTGAGAGACCTGGATTCGATTCCTACACTGGTGGATGTGCCACCCTGCTATGCTATGAATGAGCTATAAATGAATCTGAGCATAACTAAAAGGACTACGTGGGCTGCTGCTTTTGAATAATGCTTTTGTGTAACATACTAAAAGAAAATCAGCAACAATCAATGAGCAACCATGTAGATTGTAATCCCTTAATAAGCATAACTGTTGTCCACAAGCCTAAAAATGACCCAGTTTAATTATAGCCATGATCATGGTCTCTTCTGAAAGGGAAGTAAGTGAACTGAAGTTATTTTACCAGGTTTTAACATCCTTAAAATGTCAAATATCTGCTATGATCCACCATACAGTCAGGGGATGTGATGATTTAGTCATGGAAATGGCCTGGCCTACACACTTGTGTCCATGCATATGTAATTGTTCATCACCATTACAGGTCTACACAGGGATTAGTATGTCCATGCCCTGTAATTTGTGATGGAACCTGACAGCAATGGGCAACCAACAACCCATTTAACAAAAGTGGGAAGAATGAGAATGAAGGAGAGAAAAGACATAAAGCTAATATTTTAAAGGGGCAGAAGGCTCTTGGATTATGCAATTTCTATTTTCTCATCTTAAACTAACAGTGACCTTCAAATGAAAAATATAAGATAAAGACACAAGATGAAAGATTTATTGAAAATGTTACAGAAGAGAAAACTTGAATGGGATTATCAGTAGCTTTACCAGTCAATAAACAGCCTCACTGTGCAGCCAGATGATGTGCCATTCTTTAGTTTAGGGCTCTGGAGAATCTACTATGAATAATTCATTACAGCGCAATGGTCTTTTAATGGAACATTTAGCTCATCTGTGGTGCCATCTACTGGTGTTTGTGTGCAATACAAGTTAGTGTGAAGGATGAATGTGTTCAACGATGTGTGAACATGGAAGTCTATTAATAGCATGACCTTGAGAGATGTGTTGTAGCACTTTTATATTTTTCTCTGTGTTTCTATTTTTGCAGAGGGGGGCAACGCCTAACCAAATATTTAGGTAGGTAAAATAAAACGTACCATTTGTGTCCCCATGTGCAATACAACAGTATAGTGTAAATACATTTTTTTCAGAACTTAAACAATTTACGCTATTCTTTTCTTTTTGCCTCCTGTAATCAGCTTCAGCAAGCCATAGAAGAAGTAGCCAGATCCTTTACATAGGATTAAATTTATGAATTTGTCATATGTTTACTGTATAAACATACGTACGTATGATCAGCAAAATACACTCAAATGTACTCAATCCGCAGAAATCTTTTTATTAAATATTACATTATTAGACTGTTAACACTGATGCAACATTGTACAAGAGGCATGTTACTGTTGTAGCTGTAGCTTAGAGTTAGTCAGGTCCGCTCCAATACATCACAGGATAAATATGAAAGATGGTTAATGGGGTAGGAAAGAAGAAAAAACAAGGTTTAGCTGCATCAATTTGTATTAATTTTAAGACATTTCTCTAATCATTGCTTTTTGTGATATTTTGGATACTTTAACCTCTCCGGGCCTCAAACAGTTATTTAAATTAAACCATTTGAGTCTAGGAAAAATCACTCTTAGAGATACTGCATTTTTGCAAGGGGTCACAAGCCACTAAAGGTTGGGAATCACATTGCATTTCATAAACTGATTGTATGTTTTAAATGTAAAATCTTAATCTGAAAATCAATTAATAACTATAGCTGTCAAATAATTGTAGTGCATCAAAAGTGCAATATTTCCCTTTGAAATCTAGTAGACTACAAGTTTAAAGTAGCATTAAATGGAAGAAATACTCAAGTAAAGGACAACTACCTCAAAATTGTACTCAAGTATAGAACTTCTTGCATGCTTAGTTCCTTTCCACCACTGCCTTCAACATTTACAGACACACACTATTTCTGTTTCTATGTTTCAGGTTCCTAATTTTCCATGTGTCTGTCTTCACAATGTTCCAGTCCCTCAACATCAGCTTAAAGGAGGGAGCCCACCCGGGTCTGCAAAGGAGGAGATGAATACTATAGAACCAGCCAGCCTGCCTTTCATATCTACCTGCCAAAAAAACAGTGTAACCTACCCTTGATGTCCACCCATCTTGCTTGCAGTCCCTAAACCATCATCCCTAGCCCTTAGTTGGAGCCCAATACACTTTTATCCCTATGTGTCTACAGAGCTAACCCTAGCACAACATTGCATTGACCATGACAGGGGCAGAGACTGTTATCCTATTGAGAAGTATATGGACTACCCACTACCTACCTGAGAAGGCACAGGGTTGACATTGTACATCTGCAGTACGAGCAGACAGACACAAACACACACACACACACACACACACACATACACACACACACACACACACACACACACACACACACACACACACACACACACACACGCACACAAGCGTGCCACCTCACTCATATGCACAAACATAACTCTGTAACACATGCACATACATTACGTTCAAACAAAACATTAACAAACTGTAATTACAAGTATTAAACTATGTTACCACTTAGCCGTGTGTACCACCGTCAGAATGTGTGTCATGTTTTATTTGTGAAAAGAAGAAACTACTCATTTTCAGATAATATCGGGTTAATGTAAATCTGTTGTGTTTCATAATATGTAAGGTTTGACAATGAAATGAAAGTTTTAGTTTCTCCTTTTGCCCTTTGTTCCTCTTCATTTATTAGAAAAAGATATCTAAGACTATTTTATAAGAATATTACCATCCAAAAGAGAAAAAACTTGTATTACAAAGTATGTACAGTGAATATTAAAGATGTTCTAGGAATTTTACCTAAACCCATTCAATGCCCTGCTAGCTAACTTTGCACAGCGCTTCAGTTTGAGAAGAAGTCTAATATTTTATAGTCTGTGGTATCTACACTGTGATGGGGGCTACTAGGACTGTGTGCTCCAGGACTCGTAACTGCTGTTTGAGTACGCTTCTGTATGTGTGTGTGTAGTCTGTGGATGTGTGTGAGTGTGAGTGCATGCACATATGTGACTGTTGGTGTGAATGTTTTGTGTTTGTTGGGCTAGTGAACCCAATATGCCAGCCTCACACCCAATTGTCCTGTTGTGTAGCTAAATCTCTGTCTCTGTCTTTGATCCCAGCTCTCTTTTTCTGTTTCGCTCTCTTTGACTCCCTTTCTCGCTTTGTTTTGTTGGGACATACAGGTTATCATGATGGCGTCACAGTATTATGTGTAGTGACTAGGCCTGAGGAGTGAACTCCTGGATTGTGATGGATTAGTGAAGCCTGTCCCAGCCTCGCCTCTGGATATGTTCCTGTGTAAATAGATATTCTATAGATACCAAACAATTGACAAATATGGAGAGGGAGGTTAACTTAGAACAATTAAATAGATAACTTTAAGAATATATGAACACTTAATAAAGATTTTCACTGTAAAACGTTGTTGTGGTCTTTTTGTTAATTTTGACAGAAGTACATTTTTTTAAATGATTTTACATAAATGAATGAATAAAGATTACGTAACTAGTAAGGTCAGTACCACTACAGTTGTATAATATCTTGAGTGGCACTGGAGGGAGCTTTGTCAAGCCTGAAAAAATTTTGGGTTTGGAGATTACAAATTTATAACAGAAATCCTGCATTGCAATACCAGGATGAGAAGTTCTAAAGACATGAGCATAGCCAGGGAAGGTTTATTAGTCATCCAATTGAGTGGCATTATGGGAAATGTAGGACTGATGTTTTGTGAATATGACCCATATTAGGGACTGAAAGTCAAAATATCTCAGCCTTTGCTGCAGCGAATTTGACCATTCTTTTTTAAAATATGTCTCTAAGTCCTCCAAATACATGGAAGTGCATTAAAAAATTGCTGGAGTACCCCTTTAAAAGGGCCACATAACAAATTGGTTATGTTTTGTGAATATGACCCATATTAGGGACTGAAAGTCAAAATATCTCAGCCTTTGCTGCAGCGAATTTGACCATTCTTTTTTAAAATATGTCTCTAAGTCCTCTAAATACATGGAAGTGCATTACAAAATTGCTGGAGTACCCCTTTAAAAGGGCCACATAACAAATTGGTGCATAACACTCAAAATGTGTTTGAGGGAAAAAATAATAATAATAATGCATTACATTAATATAGCGCTTTATCATTGAAACTCAAAGCGCTTCACAGTGAAGTGGGGGGCCTCACCTCAACCACCACCAATGAAGAGTAACGAAGTATAAGAGAGCTAGAACACATTATTGCTTGACATGTGCCTTTATTATGCAAGACAGGCCACTGGATGTTGCCACACTCATTTACATTTTATAGTGTGCTTTGGTTACAATCAAATCGGATACAAGAACATTCATTTAAAACATTATTTTTAAAGTTTATTTTTCATTTTAATCCTAACCTTTACTTTTCATAATCACATTCAAAAGTCAGGGCACAATTTTGAGATAAATTTGAGATTATGAAAGATTAACCTCACAATAACCTTCTTTATCCAAATCACATGTCTAGACCACCACAAAGAAAAGAATGTTGTGGGGAGGGAAACATGAGGGATAATAAGAAAATACCACATTTAGCCATTATTGTTTGCAGCTGATGCTTTAAGGCATGACAGCAACAACCCATTTCATGCAGCTCAGATGGTTTGTTCATCTGGATTAGAAAGAAATAGTTAGAAGATGTGCATGGTTGTGTGTGGTTTAGGGTTCCCATGGGAGTCCTGTGGGGTATCCAGGGGCTGAGATGAGAAATAACTTCATTTTGTTTAATTGCATTTCATTGAAGCACAATGAGCAAGTGCATAAAATGACAGCAGTATTTTGACTTCATCATTCACCATTCATCATTATGAGCAATGTTTGTCACCCGTAGACGCATTGTGAGCCAGTCATGACCATCACTGTCTATTTTGTGTCACAGAAAACAAGAAAAAAGGTGAGAGAGATGAAGGGAAAGTGACAGAAAGAGAGAATTGATTGCCAGTGCCGTCGAATGGTGGAGCAGTTTAGTGTTCTTGCCATTTCAAGAGATTTTTTCTGGTTATTAGTGTTAGGGCAGTTGAGTGGATCCAAGAGCGGACACAAGGCGGGTTAATTCACACTTAGAACTGTTTATTGACAAGCTGAATGTGCAAAGGTGGGTTCAGTGGGCTGAAAAAACTCAGAGCTCGACTGGCAAGCAGCGTCTTCACAACTAGAGCTGGGATCTGAGTTGGAGGAAAAAACACTGGCAGTCAATGGAATGTCACAGACTAGATCAAAACTCTACTATCAAGAAGTTAGAGCTGGGCCTTAGCACTAGTTACCTGTGGGTTAATGGACAAGTTGAGGACACAGGGCGGGTTGCAAAGGTGCTTGCATAACCATTGATGAAATTACCAGCATCGCTTGCATCAAAACAACTTCATCGGTGTCCTTACACAACACTGAAATTAAAACGTTAACCAATCAGATAACAAAACCCATGATAGCTTAAACTGATGGGAGTGTACCAGGACTTTACCATAGATGTATTATAAGATGTATTATATTCATTACATATTTATTATGTGGTGGAGTAAGTGAGTAACTAACTAAGTGAGTAACTAAATAACTACTTACTTGAATCTATTCAACTTTGCACTTATACTCCCCTACTTTTAAGTAAGTAGGCTACACATAGTACTTTTTACTCAGCTACAGTTATTTAACAACTACAGTAGTAATAGAATTAGTTACTTTGATTTTGCATGTGTTTTCAGTTACTGTGGCTAATATAATATACAATAATAATAATAATAATCCACTAATACAATATAGACACTTAATATTTTCCAGATATTACTTCTGTTCTTTTATCAAAAAAGAATACATGAATAATGAATAAAAACCAAAAATACAAAAGGCCAAACATGTTACAGTACAACATTACATCCTTAAATTGAACCTACATGAGGATATGCACATCGTCAAAATGAATCTGCCTGTGGCTAACTTCATGAGCTGATTGCAGTGACATGGCTGGCGTTACACATCAAAGCTAATATTAACTACAGACATATCGAAAATGTTACCTAGATTGAGCATGTGTACTATTTTGAATGGAGGACTTTTGAATGAATTCGCCCGATGTCAGCTGGGATAGGCTCCAGCCCCCGCAACCCTGTACGCAGGATAAGCGGTTGACGATGGATGGATGGATGGATGGCTGACTTTTGAATGGAGGACCTGACATTTAACACAGTCTTATTACACTGTGGTTTTGCTCATTTGAGCAGTTAGTAGTATATTAGGGGCAGCTTTGGGCGTGAACAGATTATTTACTTTATTCGTTTTTGTTTTAAACTTTCTCAGTAACAAAATGTTTCAAATGCGTGAGTGATTATTTAGGCTAGTCTTATCGTTCTTGTGTGACTCTTAAGGACAGCAAATGCGATAACCTGCCACGTTGCCAGAGAGGAGAAAAAGAACATTTATTTTATTGAAGTAACATGGCGACTTACATAGAAAGGAGAAAAAAGCTACAATTGTTAGGATAGTATATTGAGTGACATCTATCTCAGCTTAAATCACATCCTAATGTCGGACGCACAGCTGTCGAGGCCTTCGCGTCAAACTAAAAAACAAAACAATTGTGGAAAGATTTCAAGTGGTGGAAATAAAACAGCGGGTGTCATTTTGATTCTTGAAGGTCTTCATCGTAATCTGATTCACTGTGTACAACAAAAACACTAATACACTGCAAAAAAATCAGTCTGCCGCCCCCTAAAGGGCGCTCGCATAAAAGGTCTCTCCCTCTCAAAGTCCCTGGCTGAATTTCAGTCCCAGTAGCCTACACGCTGGACTAGAGGGTTTATCCAGAAGTTTTATTCAGAAGCCTATTTTTATTTTAACAAATAAAAGTTGCCAAATGTTGCTGGCCCAAACACACCATTGTGGTAACAGAAAAGACTAATTACAACATTAGTCCACATTCGAATGGGGGTCAGTGAAGAAAGTAAGAGTTGATCTTAGTTTTAATGAACTTCCAAAGATGATGGCTTGGGAAAGTGAAAAAAATGTATGAAAGTAAGAGTTGATCTTAGCTTAGTTTAAGAAGACAAAAACGGTCTGCAGAATGTGGTGGTAAAACCAAAGTGTAAAAGGAGAGATTCCTTAATGCAGATGGTCTAGAGGTTGAGGACCATACAAAACCGATAGCCTATGTATTAGCTTAAAGGCCGTCCCTCAGTATTCCCATGATGCAATGCGATGAAGAGAGTTTTGTTAAAATGTGCTAATAAGTCTCCTATTTGTTTGAAATACAAAAGTTACTTTGTGATTTATGCTGTTTAAACATGTATGCTTAGAATGTTTTTTGTTGGCAATTGTCATTCTTGTGATAGTTTACAGTTGAAACCATGAAGGGAATGTTTCATTTTATAATCACAGCCGCACTGTTTATTTGAGAAACTGCATGTCAACTGCATGATGAAAATCACTATTCTCTCTCCCCATCCGCTGTCACACATGGCAATACCCTCTATCGTGGCCGTTTTCATGACAAAGTCCAAGGCCACTATTCTGCAAGAAGTCCATCCCAGGCTGACGCGTGTCCACCCATGTGTGTCCCAATATCCACACTCCAGGAGTACCCACTGTACCCAAAAATCCAGAGAAAGTGATAAGAAAATTTTGAGTGTACCTTTTTAATTCGGGGTATACAAAAAGGCTTGGTCCATTACCAGCCCAGTACAGTCCACCAAAAGTTACTCAAAAACATTTTGCAAAATACGGTCAAAAACTTGTTACAATACAGGGCTCTTGCAGATCTCTCCTCCCTTCTCCCGTGTTACTTTTTTCCTACTGCCCATGCGCAGCGAAATTACTAACCCACCCAATCAACAGGTACAAAAACACAATATCAAAAACAAAAAGAACTTCTGCATGACCCATGAACATATAGCAGGTGTTTAACAACACTTTTGCAAATACCATATATGCCAAAAATGGCTCTTACACCCTCCCTAGTTACACTATAGGCAACCGCATAGCAGTTAGTTTCTTATTGAACCACGATAACTTTAGGATTAAAATAAGTGTTTTTTCTCTCCTCTCTGACAACCTGCATGTTACTCCAATCATTGTCCTTAAGATCTACAAGACCTCAGTCTATAATTTAAGAATCAAACAAGAGCGCAAATCCCCGATAAATAAGAAAATCACTCACACATTTGAAACACATCCTTACTGAGATAGTTTAATCGTCATAGAATATTAACATAGGGGTTTCTAAGATATAGCAACAGTAACATAAAAGTAACCTGAGTTTGCATTCTCTATATCTGCGACATCTGTGTGTCCGACATTAGGATGTTATTTAAGCTGAGATAGATGTCACCCAATCTACTATCCTAATGGGAGACAATTTTAAGTATCTTTTTTCTCCTTTCTATGTAGGGCACCATGTTACTTACTCTCTGGCAATGCAGCAGGTTATCGCAATTGCTCTCCTTAAGAGCCACAGAAGAACGAAAAAATGATCACTCACGCATTTGTAACATTTTGTTACTAAGAAAGTTTAAAACAAGAACGAATAAAGTAAGCGCGGGAGCGCGCAAAGCTGCCCCTAATATACTACTGCAGTACTTCCACCAGTGGCTATTTGTTAATATTATAAACAATAGTGGAAAGTAGATAAATACATTACTCAAGTACAGTAGTTTTTAAGGATACTTGTGCTTTACTTGACTATTTCCATTTTATGCTACTTTTAAGTAGTTACTTTTCAGAATAATATTTTACAGTTTATAAATCATTATGCATGAATTAAACAACAGTACCAGAAAGAATCTAAAGCAGTACTACTTTTTGATACTTTAAGTACATTTTGTAGCCAGTACTTGGGTACTTTACTTAAATAACATTTTGAATTCAGGACTTTTACTTGTATGGGAGTATTTTTCTAATGTGGTGTTAGTAATTGATCTAAAATACTTCTTCCGATTACAAAATACTTGACTGTACCTTTAAGAAATGCACTTCCGGGAGGGGGAGCGGGATTCAAAAATGTAGCCCCGCCTCTGCTGTTTGTCATCGCGGAAATAGAAACTTAACATCAGCCAAAAACAAAATGGGTGCATCGCTGGACACTCCGGCAAGGTGTCCTCTGTGCAACGAGCTGACAGGGGACCCCGTTACTCTGAAATGTAACCACCGGTTCTGCCAACGATGTATAGGAGACTTGTGGAGTGTTGTCCCGAACGGGCCGTACCATTGTCCGGAGTGGAGATGTAAAACTGTGTACCAGACCCTGCCGTTTGATAGCAGCTTGATACGGACGGCCACCAACAGTCGACATGCTCAGTCCCGTAGTACTGCAGGTACGGTTCAAACTAGGCTAACTATGAGCTTGTATCGGGCTATAAGTATTGATGTAGCCGAATACGTACGTGAAGGTGAGAGCTTGCTAGCTAACCTGCGTTACGTCCCTCTCACGCTATACATTTACGTGAACGTTACATGTTGTAAAACCGGCATGTCCTATGAACTAGGTGGTTGCCAATGCTAAGTTAGCCAACGTTTTTCTCTTGCTACTAAATTATTTGTGATTTGGCACCCAAATAAATAAATAAAATAAAGGCCGGACTTAATTAACGTTACGGAAAATGGCATCCACAACCTTATGTTTTACGCAAAATGATGTAAAACCACATTAACGTTACATAATTACACTATTACATGTTTTTAAAAATATGTAATAGTGTTTGATTTAACGTTACAGTGTCATGGGTCGGATTCTTTTTTCTAATATTTAAGACCAAAGTTTATGGTTCATATTGTGACCTTTGGCATTATGTAACGTGTTCATGCAGTCCCTCCTGTGTTTTGCATAAATCGGTTTAATCTTACTCTTTCCACATTAATTTTTTACAGCATTTCTCCAACACGTTTTCAGAGTTTCAAATTTGTCACTGTTCTTCTGCTGGTTTGGTAGTTTGTTTTCCAGGTCTGAAACCTTGAAAGGGTGATCTGATCTTTTCCCCATTTTGAATTTGCTACGTCTGTTAAAATTTTCATTCTGGGCTGATAATTTGGAAGACAAAGGTGGGATTTCCTTTCCTCCACCAACAGGATTAAAGCAGCTATAGGGAATTCCGGCAGGCAGGGCCAGCGGGAGAGATACTAATGTGAAACACTCCTGGAAACTAGAAATGTGTGGAGGGCGTATGCACCACGCAAGCAGCTTTTCTCACTGGACTGAAAAGGCACAAGTTTGAAAATTTCATCCCAAACCTAGTCACAAAAAATATGCAGAAGTTACACTTGAATGTGCTGTCATTGCGGATTCTGTTCTGTCATCTGTCTGTGCTCTTTCTGCGGCTCAGTCGATGTGACATATCTTCCATTGTGCAGGGGTTAGTGTGTCAGAAAAGCATGCTGGCTTGCGTACTTCAAAATGCGACCGGATGCAGTAGGACATCCTGGTATTTGTGGAAAAGTGCATTTGACGCTTTGTATTAGCAATAAATAAATGATATGGTAGTTTGGGTACTGGATTGCTCCCAGTTGACTAGTGCTCTAATAGGCACTGCATTTTTTATTAGATTTTCAAAGCTTTTTTTTTTTTTTTTTTTTTTTTGAGAAATATGATGTGATATTTATCCCATAATTGTAAGGATGCACCAAACTGATATCCAGGGTGACTATCAGTGTTGATAATGTCCTTTATATAGTGGACCAGGTATCTGTATCTAAAATGAAGTGTTTTCACTACCAGTTACATTCAAACTGCCATGGCAGGTCACCGACTCAGTGACAGCTTTCCTAATTGAGCTTACAGGGCAACGTAATAACTAACTTGAGTGCAAACAAGTTAGTTAGTCGCTGCTTGAATGACCTAAAGTGGCCTTCACTGGCCAAAAGTATTGCTGTAAACGTGTAAAGTCAACCTTTCCTCTGACCAGTTTTGCTTTGTTTGTATTCTCTTTTTAAAGGCGCATCCAGTAATAATGAACAAAAAATATTTAACTCGACATTGGGGAGGCCCTCACTCACCAGTCGACTTCTCGGGAAGAGAAAGGCCAGCACACCTGTGTCAGAGCAACCTGACTTAAAGCGATCAACTGTGGAATCTCCCCGTGAGCAGTCGAATGACACCGAGACTCCCACCACTTCCTTCTCAGATAAACCCGGGCAGTCGAGTACTGTGGAGACGTCGAAGAAAGCAGAGCGGTGTGGTGATGGCTTATCCTCCAGTGACAGCTCTGACAGCAAGACAGTACCTGAAAGTGACATGCCACATGACATCTCAATCCAGCAGAACCAGCATAAATCAGTGGAAGTCGTGTCATTAGATGACTCTGACAGCTCCAATGAAGTAGATATATGTGATGCCCCTCGTTTCGCAACCCCCAACAAAAATACACAAGTGACAGGCATTCATGCATCACCAAAGAAACCTGCTTCACCTGCCAACTCGGATTCCTTTCCTGGGGTCTCAACTCCATATAAAGAGAAGTCCACAGTACACCATGTCAGCAAGTCTCCTCTGATATCCACCCAACATCCTGCATCCCCAAGTCGTGTTGGCATCTTCAACAGGTTGGCGGGCAGAAATTCCAGCCCTGTGACCTGCCATTATTGCCCTAAAACTGGGTTTCAGTCTGCTGTGAAGACCTGTCTGGTGTGCGGAGCTTCCATGTGTGCTGAGCACCTGCGTCCCCACCTGGACTCCCCTGTCTTCCAGAACCACACCCTTGTTCCTCCCATGGAAGACATGTCTCCCTGGAGGTGCACGGAGCACCAAGAGATAAACCGAATCTTCTGTCGGCAGTGTGGAGTGTGTGTGTGCACGGTATGTACTGTCATCGGCTCACACCGTGACCACATCTGCATCAGCATCAGGGAGGCAGAGAGAGAGCTCAGGGTAAGTGGTCTCTTTAGATTCACAGAAGTTGTGGTAGATAATTATATAATATTTTTCAATTTTATCTCTGTACATGCTTTCCCCCAGGGGACCCTAAAGGAGGAAATCAAGCAGCTGCAGGAGACTGAGGAGCAAGTGATGAACAGAGTGACTGAACTCACACAGAAGAGAGACGCATCCAGAGTATGAAATGCATTTATGTACTTATTACTTACAAGATGAGAATTTTTATTACTCAAGGTGATTAATACATTGTAATAATGTACATTAAAAGGTGTTTTCTTATGGATGCACAGACTATATTTAAGGGAAAATAGTTACAGTATACATAATGGAGCTATAGCACTGTATCTCTAGAGTACATATTTTTTGTATTGTAAGTAGAGGGCATGGTTACACATTAGCAATATTTATCAATGTTTAAATATTTCACTATTTAAAGTTGGTTTGAAGTTCATATTGTTTGAGTCAACATCATCTTAAATTCAGATTTTCACATTTCTTAAGTCTTACTTGCACGGGTAGACCAATAATTGGACATCAAAGACCTCCGACTGCAAGAAGAGCCTTTGTGAATACTGCATTACATGACGCTGATTTACATTGTGTCCATCCAGGTAGCTTTAAGTGAGGCACGCGTGGGGGTGCAGCAGCAGTACGGCGCCATCAGGGAGGCCCTGGAGCAGGAGGAGCAAACAGTTCTTCAGCGTGTGACAAAGGAGGAGAGCAGGGTTCTTGAGGGACTAGAGAGAAACTCAGGCACCTCCAAAACTCCCTCCAATCCATCCAGCAAGGCCTCCACACTCTGGAGGGGCTGGCTGATGCCAGGGGAGACGCACGCATTCAGGAACAGGCCTTCATTATGGTGTGTGAGATGTTAGGAGAAAAACCTGTTGTTGGTCAAATATAAAATCCACTGCTGGCCTGTGAACACTAACACAAAGAAATTGTCTTTTCCCTCTTTCTCATGTGACAGGAATACAGCAAGATAGCCCAACTGTAAGTGATTTCCTCTCAACTTGTCAACATGTAAAGCAGTAATTTGTGAACATGTTAATAGCTAAAGGTAGGGCTGGACGATATGGCCAAAAATGTTATCACAATAAAAAGTTTAATATCTTTTGATATTGATAATTATCATGGTATGTATGAAATTTCTTTCGAGTTTAAAGGCTGATTTCTGCTCCTGAGTGAAAGTTGAAGAAACCTAATGGTTAATTGTTGTTTAAACTTTTCTTTATGGTCAACACTTAAGGCCAAACAGTGGATCACTTCACAAATCTGAGATAGACATTCAAAACACTTATAATAAAATCTTTCTCAACAAATATGAGTAAAATTAAGTAAAAGCTTTGTCATTCCTTTTCCTCAATAAAATAAACATCTTATTAAAAATAATTCCAAATTTGTGTGATTCAAGTGAATAATCAATGAACTATCAAACATTTATTGAATATTGATTGCACATTTGTTATATTAATTTGAAAAAATATATATCGTGATAATCATTGTTTTATTGTCCAGCCCTAGCTAAAGGTGTTGCCAATAAAGCCCAGCTTCGATTTATGAAAAGTCCTTAAGGTACTATATTTAAAAACAAAAATTCAACAGCAATGTGGCTTTAAAGAATCAGTGCCCCTGCATCTCAGGGTAATACACAGACCACACTGTTTAAGACATTTTTATGAACAAGGCAACATTTCCGCTACCCTTAGCACAGGCATATTACCAATATTACTAACAGCTACTGTCTTTTGGTGTAGATGTGTAGTGTGGGTGTGCTTTCCGTGTTCTTTTTTTCACATTTCTGCAGAAGTTTGTTAAAATGATAATGGATACTAAATATTTAACAGAATGTGCTTGTTTGCTCATTTGTATTTTTGTTAATGTTATTTTGTTACTTATTTTCTTTTTCCTTGTATTTGCCCATTAGTGCTGCTGTCCACTTTGTTTCTTTTTTATTTGTAACTGTGTCCATGAACCTCCTAATTTTTCTGGTCTTCTTCATCAGGGCTAGTAACATGGGCTGTTGTTTGGACCAGTTTGAAGCTCCAGAGGAAGTGGATCAGGCCCGGCTGAAATTTCTGCAGAGGTGGACCGAGAAACGGCTAGACACAGTCGTCATCTCTGTGCCAGGCAAAGACGGAGACCTCTACAGACTGCTGTGTGAGTTTTTTTTAAAAGTACAAACACATGTTTACTTTCCTCTCACTGATGAATCACAGCTAATTAAACTGAAGAGCTAAATGCATCCTTTAGACCCAAAGGTGGCGCATTCAATTAGTCATAATCTTCTCATCTAAGTGCAGTAATTTCCTTTCCTGTCTGCAGATGGTACCGTCCCTTTCTTGGATGCAGATACAGCCCACCCCAAGCTGCAGCTGTCTGATAACAACAGGAGGGTGATCTACAGCGAAGCCCAGCAGGCCCACACAGATCACGAGGCTCGCTTCAGCGCCTTCCCACAGGTGCTGGCCTCCTGTGCTCTGGAGGGGGGTCGCTGGTACTGGGAGGTGAACGTTTCGTTGGATGAGGGCCGCTGGAAGGTGGGGCTGTGTGAGGGTCAGATAGAGAGGAAAGGTCAAAAGGACAACTCTCGTCTGGGCTTCAACTCGTACTCCTGGTGCCTGGCCTGTGACAGAAGGAAGGTGGAAGCTCTACATAACAAGGTGGCAGTTCCTGTGGATGCAGACCAGCTGCAGAGGGTAGGAGTATTCCTTGACTTTGAAGAAGGTATTTTATCATTCTTTAATGTGACACCAGGGGGCAGTCTAGCTTTAATGCATTCCTACGAGCACAGGTTTACTGGTCCTCTTTACCCAGCCTTGTCTGTGTCTAAGACACAACTGACCATCTGCAATCTCTTCGAGTCATAAACCAGGCAACACTGGCATGTCAGTTCTGCTGAAAATGTACAAAAAAATACATGAAAGCATTGTGCCTTTTTTATGTGAAAACCATTTCATCATTTAAAACGTACCAATTTGTAAAACTCTCGGGGATGATAGTCATGTATTGTACTATAATGCTATAGAATAATCATTAAATGTGATTTTTTTTTTTTATATATATATAATACTAGTACTGGAGTTGTACCATGCCAGAAATACTTTCCAACGCTTTACATGCAACATTCCAGAGGTTGAATATTTTGGTATCAGGATTTTAATATTTGTATGTTTTTCATTTTAGAATGTCAGTGAACAAACGAGCAAGTTTTCAGGCAAGTTATGAGTGCAAAAAGTTGATTTGTATCATATTTCCATTTTGAATATCTTTTATATCTATTTTGCTCCTATGGTGACCTAATTGTCTATTTACAGAATAAAATGTTTCAAAAGCAAAATAAAACGTGCATTACGTCTTGCCTTTTATACTTCCTATTTGCGTTTAAATCCCAGGTGTGTGAGTGGGTGACATGTTTCCCCTCAGCAGGTGACAGTGGTGTGCTAACTTTGATCTCTCACTACCCCACATCATGTGAGCTTTTCCCGACAACACCCAGTGCCTTTGGCCAAACTCCTTATAGAATCACAGTTCGCTACTGTTGTTTAAAAGCCCTCCTCCATGCTCAACTCTGAGGCGCATTTATTCTGACTGGGAGTCTGTGTGGTAGACGTCATTAAGAGGGTGTTTACATAAACACCTTCTGGATGAGTAGTAGAGTACCAGCATGCCAGTGGTTCGGGGACAGCTGGCCATGGATCAAGGCTGATCCAAACTTGTTGGCTAATTGAGTAGCTTAAAATCCTTGGGATCGACAATAGTAAAAGTACTTTAATGATGCAGGTGCATCAGTCAACTATGGCAACAATTTCACACTTGCAGACACGTGATCCAAAATCCTCTGTGGGCTTTGCTTTATTTCTCTCTTCCCTAGCTGGCACATGAAGGCAGAATGCAATACATGTCTGAGAGAGCGAGAAGGGGATTTTAACAGTCAGGATAATTAAATTCTCCCCTCCCCGTCCATGCAATGGTCTCTTAAACTCAGCCAGGCTGTCAGCTTTTCCAGACTTACCATTACATTAAATGAGCTAAGGGCTTATAGTATATTGGCAAGGGAACAATGTGTCACAGTTATTAAGGAATAAAATGTACCTGATGAGGTATTGACAGCTACATTGGCTACTAATGGGGTCCTCACTATAGCAAGGAACATGGTCTTCATTAGCAATCCCATGAGTCTCCCATATCCTAAAGTTTGCAACCCAAGTATCTACTTGTCAAAATGTCTTCGCATAATAGGATACCCCTACCTACTTCTGGTTGCTGTGGTGAAATGCGCTCAGGTATTTGTGTCTCAGGGGAATTGCGAAGAATCAAATCCCTAAATTACCATGTCAGCTGCATGGCAATGTACAGTGATACATTACTCAGTCGATGTGGCCTTGCATAGCAGCTGAAAAGCCTTTGAATTACAATGACAGTAAGCTTCTGGGGAAAGAATGGGTTGATTTACAGTGTATATTGTTCCTTTCCACTCAAAAGCAAATAAACAGACATCAAGTTCACATTAGGAGTAGAAAGTCAGGCAATCAAGTGTGCAGTTTGCTTTTAAAATCAATATTTAATTAAAAATATAACTAGAAATATAAATTAAGCAAATATTGAGACTAGTCTTACATTAATCTCTGCTGTTCACTGACTGCCTTGGTTTATCAGATCAAATCATGCCAGTTGCAAGGAATCTTGGTGTCTGGTTTGACAGTGATTTATTTTCTGAGCAGCACACCACAAAGCTGGTGCAATCATGTTTAATGAGCTTAGAAACATTTCTAAAATCCGAACCTTTTTAGCTTTTAAAGATACTGAGACTCTTTCTTTACCTGCCTGAATCAAAAATCTATTGATCGGCTACAGTCTGTTCAGATCTCAGCTGCCAGGCTTTTAACTAGAACCAAGAAACGTGTTCATATTACCCCTGTTTTAGCCTCATTACACATCCCAATATGTTTTAGAATTGATTTTAAGATTTTACTGATTACATTTTAGCCTTTACATGGTCTTGCCCCCTGCTAAATTGCTGACCTGATCTGATACCTACTCTAGTATGTTTTAACTGCTTCATGTTAAACACTTTGTAACATTGGTTTTAAGTGTTCTATAAAAAAGATTATATTAAATTAATCTCATTTGTTCATGCTGGAAATGCCTTTGTTCTCCAGATGATTTTATACTGAAAGAGTACAGTAGGTACATCAGATTGGGTCTTATTTGCAAAGCTTTTCTTGTCAGCACTCTCCTTTAGATTGCATGCTTTTATCTCATTGTTGTCGCGATGGAAAGTGGAATGGCATGAAATTAGAGGTCAGAGATTTCCAAACTGATGGTTGGCAGCAATCCTTCCGCTTAGACTATCTTCCTAATGCCACAAAATGTCAGTCTTCTTCAATTCTACCTTTTGTGATTTGCTGGTGACCTTTGTGTTAGATTGCTCAGAGGTCAAGCAATTTCAAGTTCACTTTTAGATTTGGATATATTGCACTGTTTGATGTAGGCCCCTGATCATTAAAGCCTCTTTTTCTGTCTTTTATGGAACTAATGGTGACTGTGCACAGATTGCTTTTGCTCCTGGGCTGGGAACAGTAGCCAATTCAATTTGCATTTTTACATGGGAAAATCTGCCCTGAGTCAACCTTTACCTCCTGGGTAAAGACCAGTCAAACCCACTGATTTGAGTCACGAGAAGTGCGATTGACATGTAAAATCTTACATTTATTGTCAACCAACAAGACATAATCAGTCTTCTTTATAGGCCCAGTTTTTGTATGTATTACCTTTGCATTTGAGTTACAGAGCATCCAATATTCTTTGAAAACCCCAGGTCTTTTTATACAAGAAAATGAGCTGATCACCCCAAATGCCAACCTAATTAACTAGAAAAACTGTGTTAGCTTAATTTCTCCAGCAACACAGAGCGCATACATCAAGCATCATTAAATTCAGGCATTTAGTGCCATTTCAATAATTTCACCTGCTCCCACAACATACTTGTTGCTGAGAACCTGGAACTTGAGCTATGAAGTAATTGGATGTGTGCTAATTTGGGTTTGTGCTCATTAGAAGGCATATACTCATTAACAGCATGACAGGACAACACCCTCCTCCAGAGAGGGCAGATATCAGCCCGCACTTCACCCGCACTTAACTAAGTGGCAGCAGAGATATCCCTGCTCATGCATAACAAACATGTTTACTGCCACTATCTTCTTTGAGATATACAGTAGTTGCCATCCTTATTAAAAACAATGTGTTAATATTTAGAGTAAACACACAGGGTTGTTCTAGAAACCCATCTAAAATCAGAAATGGGTTTATATTAGTATACTAGCAGCAAAGCACAAGAGGCCCTTTTTACCTGTTTTTTATCTTCATTTTATCCATACAAAAGTACTACTAGTTATTCATCCTTTTGTATCATCAACAAATCCTATGGAAAAACTAATTTAGCAATGATTTTATCCCACTTACAAGTATTGTGTCTGTGGCCAAAGCTTGATATAGGTCATGCCTGCGTGTTTTTTACAAATCACCTGCCATCATGTTGGATTTGGGTGACATATTCCTTCAATAAAGACAGGAAGTGTGGTTTAAGCAGTGTATTTTACCTTCCAAGCCTACAGATACATATGAAGAGCCATTGATAGATAAAAAGACAGATATGTGGTGTTATATTTAATTTCATTGTAGAGTCATTCACAGGCCCCCAAATGTCTGAAGCACTCTTCTGTGATAAAAAAAAAAAGAAGCTGTTTCATTTGCAAAAAAAATCTCCTCATTTAACCATATATATGATCTCCTTTTTTTAGAAAACCATCTGAATACTTTTAAGCCAATATCACATAAGATGGGACAAACCAAAATGTATGTGACCCTTCACCCAATTTGCACCTATCATACAATGGAGATATGAAGGAAATATTTTACTCAGTTTAGTTTTGGTAAAGTTTATTAAACGATTAATTTGTGTCTCCAGTTGTAACGTGTCTTTTTACTTTATACAGCACTGTATATTCTGTTGGCACAATCTATGCACACAACCGTCATGCCTTGTGGCCATATTTTCTGTTGGCATGGCAACAGTTGGTGAGCTCAGGTGAGCGGGGAGTCTCACGTGTCTGACCCAGTCAACCGCCTGGCTTGGCACAGTCTGTGGAAATCTAAGACAGAAGAAGTGACGGGCCTATTGTTGAGTGACATGCCTAGTCTTTTCCTTCACCTTTCCCCAGGCAATTCAATTTACTCTTGACTGTTCGGCAGAAAACGCCTCATGATTTCCATGAGTGAGTCTATCCCTGTATTAGTCTGCTAGGCAGTGCTGAATTGATAAAATCCGCTTTGATGAAAAACGAATCATATATCTGTCTGTGCAACTGTTCAGTCTCATATGATTCAAGGTTTTTTTGTGGGAATGTACAGTGTCTTAATGGTATGAAAACAAATGAAAGCATGCTGATTGCATCATGCACAGAATAACATGTAAATAATCAATTGGGCTGATTTTATATATTTTTGTTATATATTGTAATATGCATTATATAATCTATTATATTATCTTAAAATGCAATACTGTCTTTTATTTCTCTTAGTTTTCAATTTCCCTTCTGGGGATCAGGAAAACCTTATTTTAATTTAAGCACTTTAATGGCTGACAATCACATCTTATATGTATTTTTCTAATGTTCTATCCCTGGCTGTTATTTAGTAGTGTTGCCCTTCAATCATTAACATGCTAGCACATTAATATTAGGAGGAAGTAGCAGCAGCATCTATTTCAAACACTCTATTGTCAACTGCATGGTACTTGTCTGTCTCCTCCTCCTCCTCCTCCATCCCACATACTTTACTCCCCCTCTAAGAATATCTGTTGTATCTTTAGCATTATTTATTTATTTGTCTGCCCTATTGCTCTTTTCACTTGGCCCCTCTGCAGGAAGGTCAGAGTGCAGGGTCATTGGCAGACAGAGCCCCAGGACATGGCAGAGATTCAGTGTGTTGTTCAAGGACATCTTAGCAGAAGGGATTCTTGCTTGTGAGAGGAGAGCCTTACATACTGTAACTATACGCTACAGTATGTAAGGCTCTCCACAGTGAAGTGCAAACAGTGAGGTGCAAACCAGCGTGAGCTTCAGAAGTATTACCATAAAAAATAAAACACAGCATAACTCTTCTCTATGACCATAAATACTAAAATATACAATATTGCAACCAACTTTTCAGAATCCTCTTTGCCAAAGATCTTTTTTTTTCTTAACCGTCAGTGGATAAAAGGTTGAATCTCAATTTCTCATTTAAAACACAGTAGACTAAAATCTCTTAATATTTGTGGACACCCCTAACTCATTTCAAAAC